GGGATATAACTGCCTTGAGCATAGAGCCCCATAGATGAGATCAGTGCCCTTACTCAGGAACCTCAGGGAGCTCCTCCCCCGCCATGAGAGGGCCCGGCGAGAAGGTGCCAGTGGTGAATCGGGAACAGGCTTCACCAGACAGAAACCTGCCAGTGCCGGGGCCGTGGACTCCCCAGCCTTCACAGCTGTGAGGAGTGACTCCCTGATGCTGGTGGGCCATGCAGCCGACGGCATTTTGTTCCAGCAGCTGCGATGACCTAAGACTCAGGGTGGCACTGTGGGCAGGAGTATAACGCTGTCACAGAACACCGCGGGAGGGGGCTGGAGCGGCTGGAGCTTACTTGTGACCCCCCAGGGCAAGAAAAATCGTAATTTATGCACGAGTACATTCAGCTGCCTAAAAATCAGCAGATGGGCTTTGATTTTAGCAGCAGGAAGGTGGTTTGCCTCAGTTTTAATTTTGCTTGCACTCAAATATATTTTCACATCTAAAAGTCATTTAATTTGACCACAGCAAAGCACATTTAAAATTATAGACGTTCTCAGGGTCTTGCTTATTTTCTACTGAATAGGAGACCCTACTACCAGCAGCAGGTGGCATCTAGCCAGGTGGAAGTTTTCCTCCGCAAAGATAGAAAAGCCAGGCAACCTTGGCAGGCAGCAGACGGGGCTCCCGAGTCCGTGGGGAAGGCCTGCAGGGGCTGGGCAGCCACCAAGAGTCACTCTGCACAGCCATGGATACCAGTGTGGTGACTGGAAACCACTCTCAGGACAGACAACACAGGCCTGAGGGTCACAGCCTCACACGGGCTCCTCTGCTGTTCCTTCTGGATTTCCCAACTCTAGATCAAGGGTCGGCTGGGCTTGGTTGGCTCTGACCTGCCATCTGCTTCTAAGTACATTCGAGCTGTGGCAGTCAGTTCCGTGATGCGGAACTGGGGTCCCTGCTCTGCCAGGGGTGACGCATAGCCCCTACAGATCTTGAAGCCAGCCATGCACGCCCAGGTCTTGCCACGTGCTTGCCTTCTGACTCTTCTGTCCCCAGGTGGAGGGCTCTGAAGGACCGCAGGGCGGGGACAGGCCCAGCGTGCGGTGCCCCGCGTCTCATTGCAGGAAATGCAAGTGGCACCGGACAGTAATCACATCTACAGCCTCGTCGGCGGCAGCCTCTAGATTAGGATCTGACTGAAGCCAGGCGACTGGATCTTGAGGGGGAATTGCACTTCCCAGAGGGAGGGCAGACAGTGGAGAACACAAGTGTGAAGCCGGAGCCAAATGTACCACACGCACGGCAGCTGGGAGGGCCAGGACGAAGACCAGCTGGGCCGGGAAGGACCTGGAGGGCCCAGGCCCACGTGAGGAAAGGTGCGAGTGCTTCGGGACTGGAGCGGGGCAGGGAGGCGCTGGGCCGGCGCCGTCCTGCAGCCTGGACAGGTGACGAAGCAGGCTGCAGGAGCAGGGATGTGCAATGCTCCCTTTGCCACCTGCCACTTGGAAGACGCAGCCCTGTGCTCTCACACGGAGCTTCCGACGGGGATGGGGGCACACAGGCAGGAGGACTACACCGAAGCCAGAAAGTAAGAAGTGTGAGTGAGGGTGTGGGGAAACTGGAGCCCCTGTGTCCTGCTGGGGGAAGTTCAAGGGGGCAGCCACCGTGGAAAACGGCAGCAGGGTTCCTCAACAGTCAGCAGAATTACGGGGTGAGGCAGCCATTCCACTACAGGCTGCGACCCCCAGAAACCTGGAAGCAGAGAGACACTGATCCACTCACATTCACAGAGGCAGTGTCCGCTGTAACCAAGAGGCGGGAAGAATCCGAGTGACGAGAGGATAAACAAATGCGTCTCTGCACACAACAGACTAGAAGCCAGCCTCTAAAGGAAATGAACTCAGGGCCAGGGGTTTACTCAGTGGCACCGCACCTGCCTTGTAAGCACAAGGTCCTGAGTTCATCGCTGGCACCAAAAAAAAAAAAAGAAATGAATTCTGACATGCACGCAACATGATGAAGCTCAATGACACAGGCCGGGCACAGAAGGAGCCCACTGCAGGAGGCCCCGGTCTGTCACACTGGTAGAGCCGGAGTGGGCCGGGGGCTCCAGGGGCCTAGGTGAGGAGAGACAGAGGTCTCATGGAGTGAGGACAGAGTGCGGGGAGGGGCCCGACCGTGGGACGGGACGGCTGCCTCCACTGTGAATGAGCCTAACTGCGCTTAGCACTGACCGTGATGGTCGTGTGCACTTACTGTACCACGCTAAAGAAGAAGAGCATTAAGAACACTGTGGAGCGAAGAGTACCCCCGTAGCTTAGACACTTTGATCATCAAGTATCTTTCCTCTCCTTCGATTTGTTGTTTTTTTTTGCGTACTGCAAACTCTCTATATTGAACTCTGCTTTGTCTCATCCAAAAAGCGATTTTTTTTTCAGTTCTGGGTCTTGAATCCAGGGCCTTTGCACTGAGCTCTATCCCCAGACCTCCCCTACTCTTTTTGAGAAGGGCCTCAACTTAGGGTCTCCCTAAGTTCCTAAGTGCCTAGGCTGGGCTCAAACTTGTGATCCTCTTGCCTCAGCCTCCCCGAGTGCTGGGATCACAGGCCGCGCCTGGCTTACCTCGATCATAACAGTTAAAACAATGAAGCTCTGAGTTGAAAGACATGAATTGCAGTGGACAGAGAGGCCTCCTCCTTCCGGGACAGTGAGTCACACTGCGATGGCCAGGACGTCTCCTGCTGCCTAACCTGAGGCCTGAGGCGCCCCCGCCCACCTGCTCCTGGCTGAGAAGGAGCACGGTCTTCTCCAAGCAGACAGCTGAGGTGCATTCTCACCTTCCCGGGTCTCCTGAAGAGGGGGTGACAGAGCCTGCCTGGGGGCTGCTGCAAGGTCACCTGAGACCCACTCCAGAGGTGGAGCAGGACGTGGGGAAGCAATGAGAAAGGAGGAGACTTAGTACAGGCCAGCGCCCTCCACAGGGTGCACAGGCCTGGCGCTCAGAGCAGCTGGCTGTTCAAGATTGAGATGCAAACGCGCTCGCTGGGGGCTGTCCAAGCAGGCAGCAGGGAGACTGAGCGCCTCCGAGTAACAAAAGCACTCCGTCCAGAGCAGAGGGCCGGTGACCCAGTGGCTCTCCCTGACCACTCCCCAAATTGTACGAAAATAAGAGAAAAGCCAACTCTGGTGCCCGAGGCAGGCGCCAGGTCGCTCTGCCCACCCCATCCCTGAGGGCGGCCTTCCCTCCTGCGGCTGCCACCCTGAACTCTGCCTCTGCGAACTCGCCTCTGTGCACTTTGCCCTCCTACCCATGCAGTCCACAGCATCCTTTCCGTTATGCATCTCTGCCTTCCCAGCACATCTGTGCAGCCCGCTCAGCCTCATTTCAGAGATAAAGAACCTGCACAGTGAGTGAGGCTGGAATCAAGTGAGACCTGTGACACCTCGCCTTGGGGTTCAGAGGACTTAGGGGCATGCACAGACACCAGCACGGAGTGGCCGCGCAGGCCCGTGGCTGTCTCTGAAAAGCCAGGGTACTCGGGAGGCTTCTGGGCGTGAGCTGCTGGTGGGGACCTGAGACACTTATAGCTGAGACAGCTGCAGACCTCGGGACCAAGTGGGGGCTGGAAGCCTGGGCTTGGAGCCTTTGTGGGAAGCCTTAGGGCTTGCAGGGCCAGGTGGGGAGGTTGGGACTCTAATCCACACGCAGCATGGGGCTCCTACTGACAAATTTGGGGTATGGAAATTACATGAGCAGAGCTGTGATTTAGGGAAAAGAATTTGGCTGTTCTGTGCAGAAGAGGTTGGCTGGGAAACAGGGACCTGTGAGAAGCTGTTGCAAAAAGAGATGTGTAATGAAGCAGTCAAATGCAAGCTAAGGGCCAGGGGGAAATTCCAGATTCTAAAAATACCTACTGGGCTCAGCAGTGCAGGTGCTGTGGTCTGCACTGCCTGCCGCAGTGGGGTGCGGGGGGCGCTTCTCAGTCTGCACACGTTCACTGTTGCCGGGGAGTGGGTGGCTGCTGGCTGATTAGTGCTCCCTGCAGGACAAAAGCAGCTGGTATTTTCCTTTCTAATTCCAGCCACACATGCTGCCAGCTTAGCGCAATAGAAGGACTCCCTGGTGGGGCCAGGCCGGTCAGATGGAAGACAGGGGGGAGCAGGGGAACCTGAGGTCCAGAGGCTACTCTGAGACCCACACCGCCTCGAGCGCTCCCCAGGCACTTCCAGGGTGCTGCACAGCCTGAACACTTGGCTGCATCTCTGTGGGTGGATGCTGGAAGCCCAAGGAAGAGCAGAACGGCCCCTGATCTTTGATCCGTGGAAGCCTAAACCCACTTAGCTGTGAGAAATGTGGAGAAGCACACACACCCAGGCTCACAGTGGTGGCACACTGTATGATGCCTTCCTGTGTGACATTCTCAAAGTGGCACAGTGGCGGAAATGCCAAGCAGAGTAGAGGTCATCGGGAGGAGGACAGAATGGAGGGCACTGAAAAGGGCCAAGAAGGGGCCCCGGTGGGGCTGAAAATGTCCTGCACTCGTTGAACAATACGTGTGCTGTTGCAGCTCATGTGGTGCCCCATTCAGAGGCGTGGGGTTTATTTTTAGGCACCAGCTAAAAAGGAATTGAATTAAGAAGCGTTCTGTATCTGAACTGGGAGTGGAGACATGAACCTACACAAGTGATAAAACTGTGTAGAAATAAACAACACGCATAGACACAGACAACTGTGAGTAAAACAGGGGAAATGGGAACACGGCTAGTGGAATATGCACAGTCCAGTATTGAGATCCTGGACCTGGCACTGTTCTTTTGGAAATGTTACTCCTGGGGGAAACTGGATAAATAGGATCTGTCTGTATTATTTTTCACAACTGCATGTGGATCTACAATTACCTCAGGAAAAATTTCAATTTAGCCATCACAGAGAAGGTTAGAGATGGAGCAGTTGTCATGGAGATAAATCCATGGAAACCGTGGGAAGATCCCAGGAAGGCAGAGAAGCAGGGTGAACAGCACTGAGGAGACCCTGAGCTGAGAGGAGACCACAGTGCCCAGGGTGAGCTGTGCCTGGTACTGAAGGAGACAGGAAGCTGCTGGAGGCGCAGGAGAGATGTGTGGTGCTGACACAAAAGCAGGTGCTTACTCACCTTGCCAGCCTCTAGGCAGGTGGATCTAAGACCAGTCACGTCTGGGAGGAGAGAGAGGGACGGGGCAAAGCAGCATGCTTGGGCACCTTGGGCTCCCTTTGCCGCTGCCACAGCCCCATGGAAGCCGAGTGTTCCAGGAGGTGGGGCTTAAGGGAAGGACGAGCTGTGAATCTGAGTCTCCTTTAGAAAGGACTCTGCCAGAGTTGTCCCTGCACTGCAGAGCGAAAGATACACAGGAGTGACGAGGTGCACTGTCCGGGTCGCTTGTGTACGCAGCAGGCGTGAGTAGGCCGGCCACTCAGCCGGGCCTGGAGAGGGCAGCGGACTTACCTGGTTTACATTTCAGCAAGGGCTCCCAGCCTTTCTGAGAGTGGGCTGCACTGAGGAATCAGGGTGCTCACTCCAGAACACAGCTCGAAGGTGACACGCAGTTTTAACCGCCTCTGCGGGTGGTGGTTTCTTGGGGTGGACTTGGTGGGGTTTTCTGGTGGATCAGATGGAGCCAGCCTAAGAGAGGAGCCAAAGATCACCCCAAGATTTCTCTCTCAGGTGGGTGGAAGAACATGGTCTCCTCTGAGTAGAGAAGACACTTGTGGCAGGTGCTGGCTGGGCAACCAAACAGGGTTCAGAGACCCGCCTGGGCACCGAAGTGCACACTGAGGGTGACTCCTCACCTCTTATCACAGAGCCAAGTCCATTCACTGAGCAGTCGTCCTGCCGCCTCCCAGAACTGCTCCCCCGACCTCACGCCTCCAGACTTCTTTCGTTTTTTGAGGAGCACTGTACCCCTGGTGCCTCCATTGAGGCCATGATAAGGCAGGGAGATGTAAGCATTTAGCTTCCTTTTTTCTGTTTTCCTCTTATAACATGGGTGGGCACCTCATCTCTCAATGTGGGGCAGCAGCTGCTGGGCAGATTCTGGACTGTGGTTTTGATGGAGACAGTGGTGAGGGGTTCTTATGAGAACCTAGGGCTCAGATCTCTAAACTTCCAGGACTGTGAGAAAGGAATTCATGTTGCTTAGAAGTCACCCAGGCTACTGCATCTTCTTACGCTCCTAAACCAAGTCAGTGCCCGACTCACAGAATTGTAACTTAAACAAATGTAATAGTTCATGGAATACTCACAAGTGTGCACAATACACAATGATGCCTAAATTCCTGTCAGCTAGTATCTGTTTACTGAGGAAAGTCACATTTTTTTCACAAGGGAGATCCCACAGGCCCACCTCTGTTTCCAGAGAAAGAGCAACACCACACACCTCGCGTGTATGATGCCACCTGTTGGTGAAGGACGGTTAATAGCACCACAGGAACAATGCTGGGGTGGGGGGCAGAGACAGAGAGTGAGTGCGCGCTCACAAATGTAACCATGACAACACTTCATGCTTAAGGAAATATATCCCATGTTCCGAATAGCTACCTTATGAGACATTGTTAGAGCACAGCTTCTGTTTCTATTCTCCTGTTATCTCCACACCCCAGGCAGGCCCAGAGATAGTCATCTTGATCATTAGAAAGGCAAGTTCTTTCCTGGCACTTCCCAGTCCTAGATTGAAAATAGCCTCCCCTGGTCACTGCATCCCTGTGAATAGCAGTCCGAGAATCATTCTGCACAGCTTCCTGACCCGGAGCTTCCTTTGCCTCGGCAACCAGCCAATGGGCCAACACTATTAGCAATATAACTTTAATTGTTTTATTTACATGTTTTAATTGTATGCGCTGATAGGCTGTGACATGGTAGCCCTACTCATGCAGAGACCAGGCACTGGTCAAATGCAGTGTCCCTTAGCTGCCTTCTTCTCCCCTCTCCCAACTTCCAGTAAGCACTGTTCTACATTCATGTCGACCTTTTTTAGCTTCCGTATACCAGAGAGAACACGCAGTGCCTGTCTTTGTGTCCGGCTCATTTCACTTAAGACAGTGTTCTCCCAGTCCACCCATTCTGCTGACAATGACAAGATCTAATTCTTCCTTGTGACTACATTACACTCTTTTGTGGATTCATCCGTTGATGGGCATCTCAGCTGTTTCCATATCTCAGCAATTGTCAGCAGCTGTCTTAGTTGCTTTCTCGTATCCAACACCCGCAATTTAAAGGAAGAGAGGTTTATTGCAGCTCACAGTTTGTAGAGATTTCAGTCCATAGTAGTCTGGCTCCATAGCAGGGCAGCAGGGCAGAAGGGAAATAGTTCGTGGCGTAGCAGGCAGGCAGCAGCACGCATTTCTTCTCTTTTCCCTTTCCATTTCATCCAGGCTGCGAGCCCACTGGTTGGTGACACCCACACCCGGGGTGGTCTTCCCTCTCCAGGAAGTCCACCGTCCGCACCCAAAACCATGCTGAACCCATCAGCAGACTAATCCAGTCACTCTGAAAGCAGCAGCTATGAGCCATGAGGTTTTGGAGCGTCATCTAGATGTAAACCACGACAACCGTGATGCCCTTCTGTACACTGATTTCATTTCCTTTGCATCTGCCTCAAAGGAGGATATCTGGATCTCACAGTAACTCTGTTTTTAAGGTTTTGAGGAACCTCCACACTATTCTCCATAATGGTTGCACTTATTCACTTTCCCACTGACTAGAGTTTCCCTTTCTGCACATCCACGGCAGCATTTGTTACTGTTACTTTCAGTAATGACCGTTTGGACTGGACGGAGGTGGTGTCTTGCTGCGGTCTCAGTTTGCATTTGCCTGATGGCTAACAATAATTGACCTTTTTAATATATGCATTGGCTGGTTTTTTTTGGTACTGGGAATCGAACTCGTTACTTGCCAGGCAAGCTCTGGGCCGCTGAACTACATCCCCACCCAGCCCCTTGGCTATTTGTGTTTGTTAAGAAATGTCTGTTTGGACAGTTTTAGACATTTTTTTGTCACTTCAGTGGAAAAGCTCAGGGTTCCACATCCCTCACCCTTTCAGAAGCTGGGGACCACCTCTGAAGACCATGTTTTTGCAACTTCAGGGTCTTGCTCAGGGTCCACACACCTCAGGCGAGTCCTCCCAGACCCCTGTCGTACCGTCATCAATACTGGGAGAGTAAGAGCACAACTGCAACTCTAACATTTTAATTGCTTCATCCGAAACACAGCCCAGGCTCTCAGACCACAGTGAGCAATTGGAGATAGTGCTGCTTCCGGTCTGGCTTAGCTTTCTGCCTCCTTGCTGGCGCCTGCTGCTGCACCTAGTCTGAGGTCATCGCTTCTTATTCAGCAGGAGTCCAGCAAGTCCAATTCACCTTCAGAGAATTGCCATCTCAAGATATTTTGAACAGAAATCCATGCAATGCTAAAGGGTATCAGTTCATAATGGATTTCCAGGGTTCCTTGGAAGATTCTACTTACCAAAAATGCCTAAGGTGAATTCTGTGGTGAACACTGCACTTCTTGAAGAATTAAAAGAATTATTTCAAGGGAGGCAGGAACAGATTAGCCTGCCAACGATTCAGGAGCCCAGCAGCCCAGAACTAAGGGTGGCAAGTTGAGAGCTGTTGTGCACAGCTGGGGGAATCGAAGCTGAACTTTTCTCAAGAATTACTCTGGAAGCAAGTGCTTTATTCTTCTCATTTATGTTCTTTACTCTTGGCCTTTCTGACCCACATTTGTGTCAGGAGCCTAGAGATTTCTCTCGCAGCTATGGATGCAGGTCTTGAAATTCCCCATTTAGAAAAAACAATTGCAGTAATTATGTGAAGCAGAACACGGCTCTGGTGACAGTGCAGACTGGCACCATCGGCCCTTCCCTGAGGTGAGCAGAGGGGAAAGCTGCGTATTGAAGAAGGGAGCTGCGACTTGAGGACTCTGGCTTTGGTCTTTATTTTTATTGACCGGCGTGAGTCGTTTATGGAAGGTAAGACTCTTCCAGGATGGGGTTTATAACAAGAGTTGAGGAAGTTTGGATAGAGTGGCTAGAGGGATATGTGAAGTGCTGCGGAGAGACTCAGGACGCAGAACTGCTGTGCGGACTTGGAGATGGAACTCAGGACCTCTTACGTGCTAAGCAAGTGCTCCACCGTTGGAATACATCCCGGGCCCAGAACTCATAGCAAAAGACTTTGAAGTTTAACGGCCAGATGCTCTGTGTTTATGATCAAGTAATTAGTAGGAATCTTAGGTGAGACCTCCGAAACCAAGTGAACCAGTGCCATTTGAATCTCTGTACCTTTTCATGTGCAGAAAGGAACTGCACTTTTTTTCTTTTTGCTAAATTCCCAGCAGCTAGGGTCTATGCCATGGGAAGAATCAGCAATGACGGGAACCGCGGGTGATGTCGCCGTGTGCAGCCACCACGAGACCCCACCGCAGAATGACCGTGTGGTGGAGCAGTAGCAGAGCTTTCACTTCAAAGGCGACACCGGGCTCCATCGTTCTGAACCCCAGAGCTGGTGGAACACGCTCAGGGCTGCGCAGGCGGCAGTCACATATGCCCTGGTGGGGAGAGACGCAACTGTCCAGCAAACGGCGGACTCCCAGCAGCCACTGCCAACATCAGAACTGTGGCTGTGTACACCGGAGCTGTAGCCGCTACACAACTCTGTCAAGTGCAACAGCAGCAGCCTAATACTTGGGAAATTCTCCTAAAAATATGCTTTTCTCACCAAAAAAAAAAGCCGCACTTTTAGGCACATGTGAGCTGTCGTGGAAACCTGTATGAGCGGAGACAGCTGCCCTGGTGAACGCTTGCTCTGGAGCAGTCTCTGGAGGTCCTAAGAAATGCCTCGCCCAGGTGGGCCTCCTACTTGTGCAGGTCGGTGTGGTACACCATCAGCTAAACACAGCAAAGGAGTTCAAACCAGAGCGTGAAAACGGCTCTAATCCTGACCTAGCAGGGCTGATTCCGTGACCTTGCCAATGCTCTGTGCTGGAGAGACCCCTGTGGACCCAGGAACTCACATTAGTCGAGCCACCCCCTTTTCCTTCATCAGCCTGCCCTTCCCTCATTACCTAGGGCAGCGTCTGGGGGTTTAACAGTGTGAGATGGGTCTTGTATTGCTGATTTCTCTACATTTCCTGCTGATGTCTGTTTGTTTCCAGTTGTGTAATACCGAGCTCCTTGGAGGCACGACTCAACATCTTAAAACTCCTCTATAACTCCTATTACGTTGAATGTGGTGCCTTTGATATGCTCTGCTAGCATTTCTCAAATCTCTAAAAGATAATTGAAACATAAATGCAACCAGACAGTCTGCTTCTACATGCAAACCCTCGTGTCCAACGTGGCAGCCCCATAGCCAGCTGTACACTGTCTTGCGGCATCGGTCACTGTCACAGATTTAGGGATTATGTAGTGGTGGGCTGTGGGTGGCCAGTATGTTGCTGTCAGAAAACAGATTTCTAGGCCCAGGATGTAGCTGGGGGGCATCAAGCCTGCCTGGCAAGTGCAAGGTCCTGAGTTTGATTCCTGATACCAGAGAAAACAGGATTTGCAAACCTCATTTTCTTGATTTTAAATCATGAATTGTGGTTAGCTGTCAAATTCCTTTCACTCTCTGAGGTTCTTGCAGAAGTCTCTGGCTTGTTTTCTGTTCACCAAGCAATGTTTTTGTCTAATGGGATTCCTTATAAAATATAAAAATTGTTTTTACTCCTGGATTGTGCTAAGATTACTGAGGAATGGCATATAAAGGACACTTCACTAAAAGGACTGTGTGTGATGTTTGAAGATGGCCTCTTCTGCGACCTCCTGATGAAACAGGGAGACCATCAGCCCGGAGCAGGAGAGGAATCAGGAGTTGGAGAATAACACGTCCTCTCTCTGCTCCCTGCGGGAGGGGTGTCTCTCCCCTGCTTTCCTTGTACTCTCTAGGCTTCTTTGTCTGAGTTCTACTTTCGTTCCGAGCCCTACCTTTCACTTTGATCTTTTGTCCAGTGTGTAGAGAAAAGCTGAGTTTATGAAATACAATGGAACATAACCCTACCGCCAACCACAATGGAGAAAAGAATTCCTTTTCTATTTTCAGCCTTAGGGAATTACATGGTATCACTTTTAACCCCCATGAAAAGTGGCAAATGTTTATATGATTTGGGTTTCCATGAGTGTCTCATATGTGAAAGCTTTTACACCCAAGACAGACTCCATAGCCAATAAAATATCCATTCTAAATACAACCATCCATAAGTTACGTTCCCCGAATGCTACTTCATCAGACACTGGAAACCATCTGTCATCTCAAGGAGGACACTATTTTAGTCTAATAGTGTCATAAATTGTCCATTTGGTCAGGGGATAGGCAGCTTACTTCCAAGGAGCAGGGAGAATGTGCCAAAAGGCAAACTGATGCAGCCGG